CTGTGGAGGGACCCCTGTGGGCTCCCCTCGGCGGCTCCCAGGGCAACCTCTGCGGTGGGAGAGGAGCCGCTGGGTCTGCAGGACGTTTCCCACCTGTCCTCTGCTCTGGTGGGTGCAGCTGTGGCAGTCTGGGAAGGGCAAGAATGGCAATATGATGTTACTGGGGCACATGCAGCATGATGGCATGGGGTCCTGCGATGTCACCGTGTTGTCACTGTGCTGGGGTACCTTTTGGGGTGTGATGAGGCCCTTGTTGCGCAATGTTGCGCAATGTCGTAGCAGTGCTGGAGGTGACTGCGGCCTGGAATGGGATGTCACTGCAGTGGTGGAGCATGACATCACTAGGGTACATGGTGTAATGGACAGCAATGTCACAGTGGCATGTGGGACAAGGTGGGCACGCAGAGAGTGAGCTCCCACCCTCCCCCTGATATGGGCCAGGGGCTGGGGATGTGCATATAGGTACACGAGGAGCCTGGGGGATGGCATCTCCCTGCCTGTGGTGAGGGATCTGGGGTACAACCCCCTGCCTGCCCCGTGGCTCCCTCCCCAGCTCCATCCCACCCTCCCTGCAGGGCACTGCCAGCCACAGATGTGTGGGGACAGATGAGCTCTACGTGGTGCATCCCTGCGGTGGGGCCAGCACCCTGTCCTTGCGCTGCCTGGCTGCACCCTGCGTGGGCGCCCACGGCACGCCCTGCCTTACTCCCATCCTCCCGCCGCCTCGACCCCTGCCTGACACCTTGGCTTCGTGTCACCAGACTTGGCCATGCTCAGCAGGCACCCTGAGATGATTGCAGCTCTGGGGGTGACCTTGCTACCAGATGCCACAACACAAGCCAAGATGTGGCTCTGCTGGGACAAGACAGGCTGAGTTCTGCCCTGCGTACAAGCAAGACCCCATAGCCTCAAACCTCAGATGGAGCTTCACGCTGGGGCCTTGGTGCTAGCAGCAGCACACTGGGAACCATAAGGCCTTTCTGCTCTGCCACACATCCTCAGCCTCTCTCCCTCCTCCTTCCCAAAATGGCCTGGCTCTGGGCTGTGTGTCTCTTCCCAATGGCACCAAGCACCGGATCTGCTGGGAAAAGCCTTTTGTCTCCAATCAGGAACATTGTTTCCTTCTGGAAAGGCTCCATCCCTCCTGGAGGGATTTTGGCTGCAGCTGGATGGGGTGGGAGGGCAGCTGGGGAACAGGCCAAGCTATAGGGAGTGGGAGCTGGAGGGGAGGGCAGAGCAGGGAGAGGTGTTGCTGTGGCCTGGGGACAGGCACCTATCTCCTGGCTGTGACTGGGGTGAGAGGCCACTGCTCTGCATTGGCAGGGGGCTCACGCAACAGCCCTGCACAGTTTTCCACATGTAGGTGGTTCTCCATCACACTTACTTTGAGCCCAGCATGGGCTGTGGCAAAGGCTCCCCCTCCCTCAGTGCCTGGCACTGCAGAGTGCTACCCAGGCTCTGTCCGATCCCTGTGCAACCCAATGAAACCCCATCCCATAATGTGTAACCTGCATGGGGCATTTGCATCGGGGAAAGACCCAAGCTCCTGCCCCTGGAGACCCACTCCAGACAGGACAGCAGGGTGATGGGTGGTGGAGAGCGTGGTGCTGTGCATGTGTCTCTGGGAGGATGTGGGTCAGGGAGGAAATGGCAGCAGCACAGAGTGGAGCTGAGGACACATTCATCCAGCCTTGCAGCTGGACATGGGCAACAGATGGGAGTGAAGGGGACCAGGACTGGGGCAGTGGGACACAGGGCTCTGGGTGTGCTGGGCAGTGGGGCTCAAGGGCTCCTCTGCAGCTGGAGGAAAACTCCTTCCTGCCCAGTGTGGTGGAAGCTTTTTGGTAGGG